CCATCGTGTGCAAGGTGAGGAGAATTTAATTTTTTTTCTTCACATTCTCATTGCTCAGCAAAGTGTCTGGCACATTTGTTGTTTAGTTGTGTCTGACTTTTCATGACTCTGTAGAGGTTTTCCTTGGCAAAGATACTGAAATGGTTGGCCACTTCCTTCTCTAGTGAATTAAGGCAAATGGAGGTGCCCAAGGTCACACAGCTAGTGTGTATGTGAAAACTGGATTTGAACTCAGGCCTTCCTGACTCCAGACCCACTGCACCATCCATCTAGTTGCCTCTATAGCTGGCACATAGTAAGTGCTTAAGAAATGTTTATTGACTGACTGACCCTTTTCTAAGAAGTTTTTCTTTGTTTCCTTCTCCTAATTGTTTCTCTTCCTTTCCCAGGATAGTCTGAAATTTGCCTATCCTTTTTTATTTTTCTTTATTATTTGTTGCCCTTACAAGGATAAAGATTCTACAGAATCAGGCTTGCGCCCTTTCCTCTGATTTCTGTTTTTTTGACTTTGTACAGCTTGCCCCATGCTCCTTCACTTTTAGAAATATCCATTTGTGAGGGGGGGGATTCAGGACAGAAGCGATGCTGTGTGGCAGAAGGGACTCTGCTTCCCAAATCCTGGAGCCCTGAGTCACTGTGGCCGGCTGCAGTAAAGGTGGCTACCTTTGGGCAGAGGACCCACGCATAAGCCTGGTTCTTGCTGCTGAAGACACATGGTGGCTGGTGGGAGAGGGTCCCGAGTGAAACTCTAAGTATTAAAGCATTCAGCTGAACTGAGCTATCTATAAGGGTTAACCGGAGAAGCAAAGTTGTCAAGAGGATTCCAGGGACTTGATGACTCAGTATATGAGGGTTTTGGGAGATGACCAGCTTCCTGGCTATATCTGGCCATGTTCAATATAATTCAACACATTTATTGAGAACCTGCTTTGTGAAGGTTACCGTGTTGGGCGTTAGGGGAGGTAGAAAACTGAGCTGAGATATATTTCCTGCCCTCACAGAGCTTGCAATCTTATAGCTAATAATGGCTAGCATTGGTTACAAAGGCGTTTTCCTTCCAGCATCTTGTTTGATAAGAATTTCCCAGGTATGCTCCAAGACTTTGAGTCCTAGAGTATCACATTTTGAGAGAAAAAAAGACACATGCCCCCCACAAGAAATAAGGATGAAAATGCAATGGAAATTCTTCTTATTATTATCGTTACTATTAATCATACCAGTGAGCATTTATATAACACTTTCCAAACATCTCAAAGAAACATAAAGAACATAAGCCAGGGAAGGGCTCCTATGCTGGCTCTCAGGAGCTATGGGAAAGGCTTCCAGGGCCCCGGGTAGCTCTTTTCCAGAAGACATGGGTGAGAATTTCTTACTGAGAGGGACGTGGCGTGGGCAGGGTCTCAGAGGTCACAGTTCTATCCCAGCATCTCCTGGTCTGACCCTGAGAGTCCCGAAGAAGCTCGCTATGAATGCCATTGCCACCGCTTGGACACTAGCACAGAGCGCTCTGTGCCCGCTCCCCAGTCTTTTATAATTGCATAAGTCTTGGGCACAGCAGGCAAGGTACCCGTCACCTTCACTTCTTCCATGGAATCGCTCCATATACGGGCACGTTTCTGCACAGTACTTGATTACGTTGTACTCGTTTTTATCTTGAATGTTAAGAGGGAAAAGGAAAAAAATGGAAACATCCTTAGAATTCCACTGTTTTCACACAGGACGACCCATCTGCTTTGACTTGTATAAAACCTTTTCTGGGCCACTTTCTAGTATAATGTTCCTGAAAGGAGAGGCTAACAATCTGCTGTACCTAAAACATACCCAGGCTGAGCACTTGAGACTTTAAGAACACCAGAGGCAGGAAGGACTTTATCATAAAGAATCTTAGAACACAGAAGTCAGAGCTAAGAAGAACCTTAGAACATGGACTGTCAGGGCTGGGAGGGACCTTAGAACATGGACTGTCAGGGCTGGGAGGGACCTTAGAACATGGACTGTCAGGGCTGGGAGGGACCTTAGAACACAGAACATCAGGACTGCGAGGAACCTTAGTACATAGATGACTGTCAGAGCTGGGAAGGACTTTAGATCATAGAATGCTGGAGTCGCCAGGGGCCATAGAACATAACATATAAGAGGGCTGGAGCTAGAAGTCCTCTCAGAACACAGGGTACTAGATGTAGAAGATACTTTGTTTGGATTCCATGGATTTCAGACTTAGGATTTCATTGGCATGGGAACTCCCAGTATGGGAATTCTTTTCACTGATGCAGACCAGTAACCCACCTAGAACTTTTACTCTAGAGAGTTGACCTGGGGACCCAGAGGACAAATGACTTGCACGTGGTCCCCCAGCTAGTAGGTGGTGGAGACAGGACTCTACTGTTAGCTCTCTATTGTCTACACTAGAATGCATTTCCCAGAAAGGCCTTTGAATGCAGAAAGCCAGTGTCTGAGAGGATATCATAAAAAATCTAGTCCAGTCCCTTCACTTGACTTGAGACATAGAGAAGGAAAGAGAAAAATCCAAGGTCCCACCTTGGGTCAGGAGTCAGGAGTCCTGGGGTCTCCCAGATCTGTGTTTTTTTCCACTCTCTAGGCACAGCCTGAACAACACTGTCCTAAGTGGCATCCTTCCATAGTAGCGTTGTTGATGATTCGGCCCCCCACCCCATGAAGTTGGGGCCTAGCTCACTCTGTCCCCACCTCTGAGTGGTGGAGGGCAATGAGCCAGACCTAGGAGAAATCAGTTACTGAACCTACATCTCCCACCGCAAAAGGGGAGAGAATTCAGCTTGCTGCCCACTGCACTCTCCTCTCCTCTTTTAAGATTCCAAAATGTTTCCAGCTTGGGATGCATGACCTCAAGGGCAATGTAAGGAGATGCACAGATGGAATTGTGGGGGCTTGAGGAACTGGAGAAGCTGGAATTGGAGAGGGAATAAGAGACAGCAAGAGGGAAAGGGGAGAAGGAAGAAAGGAAGGAAGGAAGAGAGGGAGAGAGGGATGGAGGGAAGGAGAGGAAGGAGAGAAAAGATAGGGAGGAAGGAAAGGAAAGAGGGAGGGAAGGGGAGAGGAAAGGAAGAAATGAGGGAAAGAGGGAGGGAGGAAAAGAAGGAGGGAGGGAGGGAGAAAGGAGGGATGAAGGGAAAGGAAAAAGGAAAGAGAGAGGAAGGGAAGGAGGGAGGGAAGGGGAGGAAGGAGAGAAAAGATAGGGAAGAAGGAAAGGAAAGAGGGAGGGAAGGGGAGAGGAAAGGAGGAAATGAGGGAAAGAGACTCGGAGGGAGAAAAGGAAGGAGGGAGGGAGGAAGGAAGGAAGGATGAAGGGAAAGAAAGAGGGAAAGAGAGAGGGAGGGAAGGAGAAAGGATGGGAAAGAGGGAAGGAGAGAAGAAGGAAGGGAAGGAAGAAAGGGAAGGCAGGAAGAAGCATGTGCCAAGTACTGCATTTAGCAGTTATAAATATCTCATTTAATCTTCACAGTTACCCTGGGAGATAGATACTATTATTACCTCCATTTTACAGTTGAGGAAATTGAGGCAAGCAGCAGCTAAGTGGCTAACCAAGGGTCACACAGCTACTAAGTGTCTGAGGTCAGATTTGAACCCATGTATCCTGACTCCAGGCCCACTGGGAAGGACCTTAACACAGAACAAGCTGTATGCACTGTGCCTCCTAGCTGCCTAAAGGTAGACTAGATGGAGTCTGGGGCCCTCACCCTGAAATTCCCTCAGGCTCTGATTCTAGGATTGTAGAATTTTGGAATTAGAACTCACTTCCCTTGCCCCTTTGAGCATGTTTCTTCATCTGGCCAATGAGATCAGACTTCATGATTAACCTTTTCAGTCCAGGAGCTCCATGAGATAAGGCCCCTCAGCTAAGCTTTTCTCTGCACACAGTATGTTCTTAATAAATGGTATATGAATGAATGAGGAAAGGGAACAAGAATTTATTAAGTGCCTACTGTATGCCAGGCACCGTGCTAAGTGCTTCTTACAAATATGGTCTTATTTGATTGTCACAACACCCCTGAGAGGTAGGTGCTATTATTATCCCCATTTTACAGTTGAGGAAACTGAGGCAAACAGAGACTAAATGACTTGCCCAGAGTCATACCAAGCTAGGAACTATTTAAGGCTGGATTTGAACTCAAGTCTTCCTGACTCCAAACCCAATGCTCTATCCACTGAACCCTCAGTTGTCTGAATGAATCAATGAATGATTAAGAAAGGAGGGGAAGAACTCTGGGATGCTGGTGTGAGTCTTTGCTCTGCCCACAACGAGCTGGGTGACCTTGAGCAGTTGCTAAAACTCTAGGGACTCAGTTTCCTCATTTTTAAAATGAAGTTAAACTATGTCATCTCTAGGGACCCTCCTCTGCAGTCCTGACAGCCTACGATTCCAATGAAAGGACACCTAGTTCTTGCAGGTGCACCTTCCAGATACATTTTCATTCTGATCCTCACCTACATGTTGTTTTGAACACACATATACACACGCATCCCCCTATACATTCAACCACTGGGCCTCAGTTTCCTTATTTGCAAAATGAAAGAGTTAGACTAAATACGTCAGACACTCACTAGCTATGTGAGCCTGGGCAAATCACTTCACCACTGTTTGCCTCAGTTTCCTCAGCTGTAAAATGGAGGTAATAATAGTACCTATCTCACAGAGTTTTTGTGAAGATCGAATGAGATAAATATCTGTGAAGTGCTTAGCTTTGCACACTGCCTGGCACATAGTAGGTACCACACAAATGCTTATTTCTCCACCCCCCTCCCCTCATGACTTCTATGATCCTATGCCCTTGTCATAATGGAAAGTACATTAGACTTGGAGTCTAGTTCTAAATCCCAGTTCTGAGCCTTCCCACCTGAGTGACCTTGGGAAAGTCACTGCCCTCTCTCTAGACCACAATTTCTTTCTATGTCAAATGGTGTTGGGCTAAATAGATGATCTCCAATATCTCTCTCTACTCCGATATTCTATGTTCTAGGATTTAAGGTCACTTCCAGACAATGGTGTGGGCCAGAGCCAGCTCCTACCAACCCATGGGAACTAATTGTTAAAATTTCAGTGTGGCTGCTTACCCCTCAGAAATCAGCAAATGCTTACAGATCAAGATTGGAGTTACTGTTTTGCTGATTGTTTAGACTTAAGAAAATCATGGAGAAAATGTGAATAATGGAGATTAAACTCAAAAGTGCATTGTACATACATCTTCCCCTTAGTGAGCCAGCTGTTAAATGTTTACAGCACATCACTGTTTCCAGGTCTAAAGCTCTGGTTTAATGTGAAGGAACGAGATTTGGACCCCAGGTTTGGAGCTGGAAGGAATCTTAAAGTTCAGTGGTGTCAAATTCAAATAGAAATGGATTCCCAAAGGCCTCATACCGACCTCTTGTTCAGTCATATCTGACTCTATGTGACTCCATGGGCTTTGTCCATGGGGTTTTCATGGCAAAGATGCTGGAGTGCTTTGCCATTTCCTTCTCCAGTGTGACCCCATTTTACAGACAAGGAACTGAGGCAAATAGGTTAAGTGGCTTGTCTGGTGTCACACAGCCAGGAAGCATTTGAGGCCAGATCTGAACTCCAATCTTCCTGACTCCAGACCTGGTGCTCTATCCACTGTGCCATCTAGTTGCCCCTCCTAGTGACTTAGAAAACCACAAATTCACATTATCTATGTCATATTGTATTATTTTCACTACTGTATATATTTTTTATTTATTTTGTTAAACCATTCTCAATCATATTTTAATGGTTCTGGCCTGATTTCAGCCTACACATGACACATCTGATCTAATCCAACCCCATTATTTTACGGGTGAGGAAACCAGAGTGCACAGACATTCTATGGTTTCCACAAGGTCATCCAATTGATGAGTAGTGGTGTTTTATATCACCCTTCCCTCTTCCCACTGGCCTACTTGCTCAAAGTCAAGCAGCTAGTATACGGGACTTGAACCCAGACCTTCTTGACTCCCACTCCAAAGTGTTACAGGCTACGACCATCACCACCACCACCACCACCACCACCACTATGATGTGACCATTCACGAGAGGGCTTGGGGATCTTCCCTGGGAATGGGGAATGCCCTTATCTGCACCTATCTGCCTGGTGCAAGCCCTGACCTTGGGCAAGGATGGCATGGAGACAACCATGGACAGGGAGGAGGGAGGGCCGGGATGGAAGAAGGGGAAAGTTGTTACCGGTCTGAGCGATCATGCAGAATTTTTCGGTAGGGGCACATGTCTGTGGTGCTTGGCACTGGAAGTCTCCCATGCACACGTGACACTGGAGGCGTACTGTGAAGCGAAGACAAGAGCCAGTGAAGAACGTGGCACTCAGGAAGCCTGACCCTTCCACTAGCAGCTGGAAGCAACACCCCAATTTACCCAGACCAATGACTCGGATGTCAAGCACTCCATCAAATGAACACCAAGGGTGGTGGCTCTTGTTCCTGTGGGGGCTGGCAGTTTACAGGGTTTCCCTTACTTCAATCCTGTGAAGTGGGCAATGGATGCCTTGTTGCGCCCATTGTACAGATGAGGATAGTGAGGCTCAAATGAGTGCACTGTCCATGGATATTCAGCTAGTGAGTGTTGGAACAGGGAGCCACATGACAATATAATGGAAACAGCCCAGGATTTGGGGGGGGGGCGGGGAGGTGTTACAGGACCAGGATTTGAATTCCAAATTCTTTATTGCCCTATATGACTTTGGACATGTAAATCTCCCTTTCTGAGCCTTGTTTACCTCATTTATAAAGGTTGTGGTTGTATGTGGTTTGTCCTTCGTTCTCGAAGAGGACCATGACATCAGAGAGATGATGACATGACTTGCAATTAACTTTGCTTTGAGTGAGGGAGGGCTGTGCAAGCTCACCGGCCTCACTTTCTCCTCCAGAGCCATCTGGGTTCAGGGGCCACAAACTGACCAGAACAACCGGAGATGGCCCAGCCTCGTTCATAAAATAAGGAGATCAGACGAGTGATCTCTACTGTCCCAGTCAGTCAATAAACATTTATTAAGTATTTACCGTGTTCCAGGCACTGTCCTACGCTCTGAGGATAAAAAGGAAGGTAAGTGACAGTCTCTGCCCTTGAAGGTCTCCCAGGCTAGCTAGGATACAACATGCAAAGTACAAATGAGCTCCACGCAGGATAAATTAGAAATAATCAACAGAGAGAAGCCACTAGAATGAAGAAGGGTTGGAAAAGGCTTCCTATAGAAGGCGGGATTTTAGCTGGCACTTGGAGAAAACCAGAAGGCGGACATGAGGAGGGAGAGCTTTCTAGGCACGTAGGGGGAAACCAGAGAAAATGTCCAGAGTGGACAGAGGCAGTGTCTTGACCTAAATGTCCCATGATCCCAGGTCTTCTGATTCTCCCTTTTGGGGCTCTTTCTTCTATGCTACCATGGCATCCCATTGTGAGGGACTCAGCTGCATTTGGCCAAAATATTGCAATTTGGTTGTTGGGGGAGGCGACAGGGGTCCCTGGAAAGAGCATTGTAATTACAGTCAGGAGCCCTGAAATGGAATCCTGGTTACGTGATTTGATCAAGTCAGTTATTTACTTTTTGCCTCAGTTTCCCTCTATAAAATAAGGGGGTTGAAGCTTCTGGCAAAGGCATTTACTTTAAAGTTTCCTACCAAGCCCAGCTCTCCCCATAATTCCCTCGGGAATGGTAAAGAAGAGAACCAAGAAAGCAAAGGATCTAGAAACCCAGAGAAACACTAAGAATGCCTTCCTCCCCATTCAGGATTGCACCAGGAGATAGGCCCAAAGTCACTTAACTTCCCAACTTTCACAATGGAACTTCCCTGGGAAACAGGCCTGAGATAGTATATCTTCTTGGTTGGAGGATAAATCAGGGGGAAGTGACCTGGTCCCAATTTTGGCTCCCAGGCTAGGATTACAATAGGAGGCTAAAACCCAGAAATGTCCAAGATCTCACTTTGGCTACCATGCCCAGACTGTTAAAAGGAATGAGACACAGAGACTGTTGTTTAAAACTCAACTAAATTATCCAGTATTCTTATCTACACCTTAGTGTTCAGACTGAGTCTACTAGAAGGGACAGAAAAGTAACATGAACAGGCCTGCTTTAGGATAAGGATTGAGAGCTGGCTAATTGTGGTTTCTTGCAGGCTTTTTCCTATTGTGGACTGAACTTCACCTACTCTAGTAATTGCTAAGCCCAGAGAACCTTGAAAAAAAACCACAAGGTGTTATATTTCCAAGACAGTCCTAATGTAGAAGTTTAAGAAATGAGTGACTAGCAGAAAACTTCTTTATATGATGAGAAAATACTACAGGTTAAGAGAATCCCAGGATAAAATCCCAGAAGAAACAAATCATTCCTCAATAATTTCAAGCAGAACCCCAGCTTAATTTTTAAAGAAAGACAATGGATTAGTCACAAGTACTCTGAGAGTGACTGGGGAAAATGAAGGGAGAATTGAAACAAGAGATAAATGATGAGTTGTTTGAAAACAACTAACTGGAAAGAAAAGATGATAGGATGAAATTTAAAATGTTAGAATACTTATAAATCATGACAAAATTGAAAACTTACATACTGTATTTCAAGAAATCATAAAAGAAAACTCTATAAAACCATCTGAACTAGAGGCTGAATGAAATTAGGTTACCTCTGAAAGAAACCCAACATTAAACACATTTAGAAATGTAATTATTAAACTCCAGAGATTGGAGTTCAAAGGAAAAAAAAGTATTGTGAATAAGTAGGAAGAAGCAACCAAATACAAAAGAATATCAGTCACATTCACACAAAATTCTATAGCAATTCTAATAAGGAAAAGGAAAATTTTAAATATGATATATCAAAAGGCACAAAGAATAATTCATTCTACAAAGCTGAATATAATTATCCAATGAAAAATGAGACAGCTAACAGAACAGATGATTTTAAAATATTCTTGCTAAGAAAACAGAAGGTGGATAGAATCTTTGAAATACAAATGCATGCGATGAGAGAAACCTAGAAAGAAAAATAAATTTGAGCAACGTGAAAGGGTTAAAATGCCTTGGACAGAAGAGGCTCCGGGTGCGATTTGTTCTTACTGTCATTCTTGCTCTGTTTTGTATCAAGAGACAAAAGAAAACAGAGGAGAAAAGGAATACACCAAGGAAGAAATAAGAAATGAGAGGTGGGAACTTATTCATTTACATTGTTGAGGCACATCAGAAGGGTATGCAAACACGAAGATGATATCGGGAAGAATAAGCATCTCATGAATTTCACTCTTACCTGAACCTGGCAAAGGAAGGAAGAACACACTCTTAACCACATAAAAAGTAAAATGTAGGAATACAAGAAGTAGAGAGGGAGCAAGTCAGAGCCAAGTAGTGGAAAGAGGGGGTTTTCAGAGGGAGGATAAAGTTGGGGAGGGAAGAGTCACAGCAAAACAGACTTCAACCTCGGAAGCCTAATTTTAAAGGAATGAATAAAGGGAGGATATGAGAGGGATCTGGGTACGATCTGGGTAAAGAAAGGGAAGATAGAAGAATGGAATCATTCCACTCTATTGTCTGTTATTTAATATAGTTCTAGAAATTCTAGCTATACAACGATAAACAAAAGAAATTAACGGGATAAGGATGGACAAAGAAGATAACATTTTTTGTAGATGACACGACAGCCTTACCTAGAGGCCTCTAGAGTCAACTAAAAAAACTCGAAGTTACTGAAACAATAACTTCAGTAAAGTAGAAGAATATAAGTAAATCCACAAAAACCTTCTTGTATATTGCCAACAAAAACAAGAAGAAAGGAAGAGAGAAAAAAATTTCATTTGAGGTAACTTAAGACTATGTGCCAAGACATACACAGAAATTATGTGTGTGTGTGTGTATACACACATATGCATATACACGTACATATGTATACATATACATACATATGAATACCATATGACTATTCTTTGTAGAATAAAAGAAGATCTAAATGATTAGAGAAATATTAATTGCTTGTGTTTGGTCTACGGCAATATGAAATATGTATTTTTTTGGTAAATATTACTCAAATTAATTCACATATTCAGTGCCATATCAATTAAACTACCAACATTCTAGTTTAGTACAAGAAAAAAGTAATAACAAAATTCACCTGGGGGGACAAAAGGTCAAGAATCTCAAAAGAAATAATGGGAGGGAAGTGGGAAGGAAGACAGCCTAATAGTTCAGATCTCAAATTTTACTCTAAAAGAATAATGACCAAAACTACTCTTTAGTTGTTTAACAACAGAAATGTCAGTCAATAGAACAAATTAGGAAAACAAGAAGCAACTGAACATAGATCCTAGTGTTTGATAAAACCAAGGACACCAACTACTAGGTTGAGGAATCCCTATTCAAGAAAATATGCCTGGAAAATTGGGAAGCAAAATGGAACAAATGGATTTAGATCAACATCTTAAACCACGTACTGCCATACTACCCAAAGAGATATAAGACCTAAGCACAAAATATCACAGAATTTTTAAAAATAGAGGAGAATGGAAGGCAGATTTCGTAATTAGGGTTAGGGGACGAACTCTTAAGTAAACAAGAAATGGAGGTGATCATAAAAATAAAACAAGCAATTTCAATTGCATAAAAATTGAGAAACTTTTTTCCTGAACAAATCAATGTAATTAGAGTCACAAGAGAAGCACTGAATTGGAGTGGGGGGGTGGGGACCTGTAACAAACATCTTTGGTAAAAGTCTGATATCTAAGATACGTAGGAATTGGTAAAAATATGTAAGAACGAGAGTCATTCCTCAATTAACAAGGGGTCCAGTCAATCAAATAACAACCATGTACCCAGCACTATGTTAGGTGTTACGAAGTCAAAGACAAAAATGAACAGTATTTACATAGTGTGTGTGTGTGTCTGTGTGTGTCTGTGTGTGCCCCAAAGACTGGAGAGGTTATTTGGGGCCAATCAGGAAAGACTGTATCTGGTCTTAAAAGTAATGGGAGGGACAGCTAGGTGGTGCAGTGGATAGAGCACCAGCCCTGGAGTCAGGAGGACCTGAGTTCAAATTTGGCCTTAGACACATAACACTCACTAGCTGTGTGACCCTGGACAAGTCATTTAACCCCACTGTCTAACCAAAAAAAAAAAATTTTTTTTGGAAAAAAAATTCCTACTGCGTGGAAAAAAAATTTATGGAAAAAATTTAGGCATGATGTGCCAGGGTGGTGGCAGCATCAGAGGAGAGAAGGGGGAATAAATGAGAGATGTTATAAGCACCTTCTAAGCGCTAGGTACTGTGCTAATCACAAGGGAGATAAAAAGAGACAAAAGACAGTCACTTCTCTCAAGGAGCTTACTATCTAATGGAGGAGACAACATGCAAAAATGTATAGAAAGCCAGCTATATACAGGATAAATGAAAAATAATTCACAGAGGGAAGATACTGGAGCATGCATTTTTCTTTTTTCTTTCTTTTTTTTTTTTTTGGCAATTGGGGTTAAGTGACTTGACCTTATAACATCTCTCATTTATTCCCCCTTTTCTCCTCTGATGCTGCCATCACTTTTTTTTAAATTTTGAGTTCCAAATTCTATCCCTCCCTCCATCCCTGCCCTCTCCCTCTCCCTGAGACAGTAAGTAATCTGATATAGTTTATATATGTGCAATCATGTAAAACATTTACATATTGGTCATTTTGTACAAGATGACTCAAATTAAAATAAAAGAAACAAAAAAAGAAAGAGAGAGAGAGAGAGAGAGAGAGAGAGAGAGAGAGAGAGAGAGAGAGAGAGAGAGAATGCTTCAGTAATGCCTGGATTATTTCAACAGACTGCTAGCTGGTCTGCCTGCAACAAGTCTCTCCCCACTCCAGTCCATTCTCCACTCAACTGTCAAACTGATCTTCCTAAAGTATAATCTGACCATGTCACCCACCCACGACCTCCATTCAATCAACTCCACTGGATCTTTATTTCCTTCAGGACCAAATCCTTCCCCTGGCTTTTAAAACCCTTCATCATGCCCACTCCTCTCTTTCCAGTCTTCTTACACCTTACTCCCCTTCACATATTCTGTCATACAGTGACATGGGCCTCCTGGCTGTTCCTTGCACCAGACACTCCGTCTCTGGACTCCGGGCATTTTGACTGGTTGTCCCCCGTATCTGAAATGTTCTCCCTCCTTATCTCCACTTCCTGGCTTTCTTCAAGTCTCAGTTAAAAACTCACCTTCTTAGTGCCTTCCTCTGAGATTATTTCCAATTCTATGTGTGTGTGTGTGTATGTGTGTATATATACACATACATATATCTTTTTTGTACCTAGTTGTTTGCATGTCATCTCCCACGTTTGACTATAAGCTCCTTGAGGGCAGACTGTGTCTTGATTTTCTTTGTATTCCCAGCCCTTAGCCCAGTATCTGGCACATACCAGGCTCTTAAAACATGCTAGCTGATAGGACTGATATCTGAAAGAAGACTTTCAGGCCATCGAATTCAACCCCTTATTTTTCAGAGAAGGTAACTGAGGCCCAGAAAAAGGGAGCTCGTCATAATATGGCAGAGCTCATAAGAATGTAGATTTAGAACTGCAAGGGAACTTAGAGGTCATTTAGTCCAATCCCCCTCATTTTCCAAATAAGAAACCAAGGCTCAGAGAGGCTGCATGCCTTACTTCAAGTCACACAGGTATTAACTATCAGAGCCAGGAATCAAGATCCTATGTCTCCAGATCCAGTGATCTGTCCCATATATCCTGGTGCACGTGATGATCTTCCCATCCCTCCTCCACATTTCCTATTTCTGTTGGGGGCACTACAAGCCTGTTGTAACCCAAGCTCAGAAGCCCAAAGTCCTCCTGGAAATTTCCTCCCTTCACCCCCACTCCCCTCCCCCCTCCACAGTCAATCAGTTCATCAGAAATTCTGGGAGGAAAGGGGCTTCCAACTGTAAAATGCCCCAGAGCACACAGAGTTGTATTCTGTGGACCTCTCCTTGCCTTCCACAGGATGAACAGCCCAGGGCCGTACATGCCAGTTTCAAAGCCCATCCCAGGTTGATCTGACCTAAACTTGTTGTAGTCTCCGTGTCCAGCCCCCTCAATCGGATTATGTTGGTATTATTCAAAGCAGATGATACGTTCCCATTAAACACAGGGACGAAGTCGGTGTATAAGATGGCCAACATTGTGATACTCAGTAGAATCTTCATTTTCCTCATATCTCAGCCTGTGAAGAAAGATTGGATCAGCCTGGATCACCACGTTTTGCAGTTACTTAGAACTGAAGTCGCATATATCTGCCTTTTTTTTTTTTACAGGAAATGGCCATTGAACAGGATCATGGAATCACAAGTTGTCAGACGTCTACTATGTGCCAGGTACTGTGCTAAGTGCTTTATAAATATTATTTCATTTGATTCTTACAACAACACCAGAAGGCAGGGGCTATTTTTAACCCCCATTTCCACAGTTGAGGAAACAGACAAACAGAGGTTAAATGACTTGCCCAGGGCCACACAGTAAGAAAGGGTGTGAAGCTGGATTTGAACTCAGGCCTTCCTGACTCCAGGGCAAGCCTTCCTTGGAACACTAAACACTGAAGTTCACAGCATGGCCAGAGAGGATGGAAAATTCTGCCTTTGACTGTAAAGGCAAGTTCCACACAGTTCTCTTTAGCAAGACACCCGGAGCATATATACCCTTTGAAAACCGAGGTACTATAAAGGACAAAGGGGGGAATTATCTTTCCTGTTTTATAGATGATAAAACCAGCCCCACAGTGGCCTTGTATATAAAAATACTTTAAGAATATTTATTTAAGTTGAATCACTTTTGTTCATGCCAGGAGACAATGATTAGAACCCGAGTCTCTGACTACCCACAATGGGGAATCTTTCAACAGCAGTAAATTCCTTGGATCTTTCTAGAGGACTATGAGATGTCCTCAAAGATACACTATGGAAGGAAATGTATCGTAGTGAATGTTGAATTTGGGCTCAGAGGTCGGGGGTCCAGGTTTCCTGCCTTCTCCTTTAGCTGTGTGACCCTGGGCAAGTCCCTTCCCTTCTCCAGGCCTCAGTTTCCTCCTCTGTAAAATGAGACGGTTGGACTAGAGACTCTAACAGGATTCCCAGCTCTGACCCTCAGGGCCCCGGGGGAGATCTTGGCCATCCCCTCCCCCTCCATAGACGGTCCAACCATACCTGGCACTGCGTTCTGCTCAGTCCCGTGGCGACCTGGTTCTCAGTGCGGCTCCCTGGGTTCCTACCGGATGAATCGGCTTCCTGCAGCCCGAAGAGGCAGCGGGTCCTGGGTTACCCCTTCCCCTCCCCCAGTCTGAGCACGTGGAGAGCTAGAGGAAGTCATCTGCAAAGGCCTTCCCAGGACAGACTCGGGGTGGGGGAGGGGGTGGGGGCAGAGCCAAGGAGAGCAGAGGATGCCGTGGGGACCCTGGAGCAGACAGTGTCGGGGCTGGTGCAATCTCAGATTCTAGGATATAAACGGGATCTCAAAGCCCACTTGGTTCAAACTACTCATTTTAAACGTGATTCTTGGCATTTCCGGATACCCGGAAGAACTGTATCTCTAAGTTCCTTTATTTAATAAAGACGATGGAGACTAGGACAAAGTAGGGAAACTAGAGCCATTGCGCCCTCCCCGAACTCACGGTTAAAAAGCACGCATTCGGTGGGCTCCGGGCGGCGGCGGCGGCGGAGGAGGAGGAGGCGGAGGAGCGACTCCTTCCTCTTCCTCGTGTCCTCCCTCCTTTACGGCACCATGGCCCCTGGGGCGGCTGTCTCGGAGGGGTGGTCAAGGTGTTCAGCTACACGAAGGTTCGCAAGTCCTCGAAGCCCGAGGAGGTGAAGCAGCGCCGGAGTCGCCCTGTTCTGCCCGAGCAAGAAGGACGTGGCGCTGCTAGAGGGCGAGGAGGTCCTCGTGGGGACGCGGCGCACACTAGCAGTGTGTCTCTGGCAAGTCACTTAATCCTGTTTGCCTCAGTTTCCTCATCTGTAAAATGAGATGGAGAAGGAAATGGCAAACACTAAGTATCTTTGTGAAGAAAACCCGAAATGGGGTCACACGACTGAAATGACTATACAGCAACAGATCACACACGAGGTCTATTTGGTCTATATCGGTCTTTTCAGGTGCTTGCTGGGCATCATTTGGGAGAGCTAGTCTACAACTTTTGCATCACCATTTAAACCTGAAGGGAGGGATGTGTGTGTGTGTGTGTGTGTGTGTGTGTGTGTGTGTGTGTGTGTTTCAAACAGTGTCTAAGACCCCTGCACCACCCCTGCCAAGAGGCCGTTGGACGAGGACGACTGCTACGCCCTACGAGGCCACCTACGAGACCGAGGAGAGCGAGAAGGAGGCCGGTGTGCATCTCCTGGGCCCCCGAGGCGAACCGCTCAAGAGCGAGATGATCTCCGCGAGCTACGAGCACGCGGTCGAGAAGAAACTGACGGCAGTAAACGTCACACGCAGGACAAGCCAGCTGTTAGGAGGAAGTGAAGGACTGCTGGACCCAGGCCGAGAAATTGGGGGGGGGGGGCAAGGCCGTGATCCCCGTAGAGGGGAAGCCCTCGTGAGCCTGGCTCCGCTGCCGAGGCTGCCCAAGCCCAGTAGGGAGCAGGCTGTCTCCCTTCCTGCCAGCCCCGAGGGGCTGGGAGGATCCTAGCAGGGAGGATGCCCCGGACAACGGACCTCCCGGACTTCACCCTGTGCACCGGCCTTCTCAAACCGCCTTTGATGTTCTCATTCTCTTGAGTTGTAGCAGACCAAGGATCCCCCAGGATGCCCAGATGAGGCCGGTATTTTTCACTGACACCCCCAGTTTTCCCCCTTCCCTGGTGCTGCCAACTTCTAACCGAAATAATGGCGATGTGTTTGCTGTTTAGTTTTGTGTATAATTGGAATGTTGTGGAAGACCCCCTCCCCCATACAGCCGACTCCCCTCCCCCCCCTCGTTACTCATGTGGCCAGTAAAAAGGAAAGTTCAACTAAAAAAAAAAGACAGATAAAGAAAAGATGAGCTGCTAAAAAAAAAGCACTATTCCTCTATGGATATTCTATTCATACTCAACTCTCTAAACTTAGGAGGCTTGAGTATTGTGGAATTTTTGTGGAAAAATTTTTTTCCACTGTTGTTTGGTTTGTGTGTGTGTGTATGTGTATGTGTGTAAATGTACACCACCAGTAAAGGCTTCCTCTGTTGATTTATCATGCTGTGGAATTGATTCTGGGTTTTCAAAGGCTCCTACTATGTGACAAGGCACATAGTAGGTGCTTAATAAGGGTTTATTGAATTGAATTGAATCAAAATGTCAAGAGAACTAGAGGAAGACTACCAGTTTGTTAGGTGGCCTTCCCATGAAGAATTATAAGATCATAAACGTGGAGCTGGGAGTGCACGTGTTGGCAAGGTCATAGGTCACTGAAGCATTGCCATGTAAGTACGCTCCCATGCTTAGGTAAATCTGTGACCTTTTTAATGTGGGTGTTCCCTTTGGTGATATAGATGAAAACCCACCTAAGCCCTCTCATCCTGTGTGACTTTGTTCTGTGACCTGTAATTCTTCATTGGGAATCTACCCAACATGCTGGTACCTGTTGACTGCCAGTCTCTGACGTTTCAGTTCAATTCAGTAAAGACTTATTAAGCACCTACAATATGCCAGGCACCATCAGTTATTCATTCTTCTCACTACATGACCAGCTCACCTTTTTTCCAATCAAACATGGGATGACATCCTTTTCCTGCCTCTCTTGTACCTAGTTTGACTGGTAAGATGTTGCAGATTTGCACCCATCACACACTTCTCCATTGCCCTTTGGGTGACCCTCCATTCTTGAGTGACTCTGATATTCCCTGACTAGCGGCTATGCGGCATCACTGAAAGGGTAGAGTTGTTTAGAAAGTCCTTTGTTTCAAGAAGAGGCTAGAGCTCACTGAAAACTCGCTTCAATTTCCCAAAGGAAATCCGCCTTGCTCTGTTCTCCCTATTTGATGCTGGGTCCCTAGACAGTGTCCCTCTAAGATGTAGGTAGTGATGGACACCCAATAGGTTGTCCATCCAACTGCTTATCAAAGTCTGGAGAACAGACGTTCTTCACTCAGTTGTTTATTTTTTAATGTGAATGGTTATGCCAAGCTCTTGAGTAATTCTAATTTTTGCTTAATAAACTTATTATGTCTTTGGGTAGAGTTTTTTTTTAGTGTTTTATTGCTCTCACTTTTTCTGATTTTCTTTTTTTTGCTGGATTTCTTATTTGGTTGGTTTTTGTTTTTGTGTTTTAGATTGGGTTTCCAACCGCTAATTGACGCAGGAGCTTTGAATTCTAAACTGCCAAGGAATTTGACATATCAGTGCAGGCCTTTGGGCAGATACCTACCTGATCAACTTAAGCAGATGCAGCTCAGAACTCCTGAGCACCAGTGATCTACCAGCCTTAGCCTTCCTGGCAATAGAGATTATAGGGGTGTGCCCCCACACCTGGTTATAACTTCCTTTTGTCTTCTATCATTTCCCGGCCTTATCCTAGATTAAACCCTTCCTGTGACAGAAACACACACACACACACACACACACATGCACATGCACACACCCCTTCAGGTTTAAATCGTGATGCAAAATGGTGATGCAAAAGGTGATGCAAAAGACAAGCCTAGCTCTCCCAAATGATGCCCAGCAAGCATCTGAAAAGATGATATAGACCAAATAGACCAGTGATCTGTTGCTGTATAGTTATTTCAGTCATGTCCAACTCTGTGACCCCACTTGGGGTTTTCTTGACAAAGATACTGTAGTGTTTGCCATTTCCTTCTCTATCTCATTTTACAGATGAGGAAACTGAGGCAAACAGGATTAAGTGACTTGCCCAGGGTCACACAGCTAGTAAGTGTCTGAGACCAGATTTGAACTCGTGACAGTGAAAAAGCAAACAAAAATAAGCTTCTCGTTCCACTCCAGAAAAGCATGAAAGATGACTAGGAGTCTACAGGGATGGATGGGGAAAGGAAACATGCTGGAGAAGCCTGAGCATGTTAAGGTAAATAAGGTGAAGAGATGTGTGAGTTCCTATGGATGGACCTAAACCCAGCCAGGACACTAAACAGCCAATGACAGCTCTGTTAATTGAGGATCCAAAGTTAGGTCCTGGTCCTGGAATATTAGAACAGAAGTAGCTCCTAAAGGTAACTGCACAGGGAGGGAGAATGTGGCTATATGCTCCTCACAGTACTGAGAGCCGTTGCAGGAGATGGGACCAGGTGGGTACCTGGGCTTCAGTTACAGAGAGATTGTACAGTATACCTTGAGATCAGCCTGATTCAACATCCCTCCAAGCCTCATCCTCGTCACAGCCGGGGATAGCACCAACTCTGAACTGGAGATCATGCAAAGAAAAGGCAGAGTCTGGCCAGAGTAGCAGGAGGTGGAAATAGAAGGCAGAGATGGAGGCAAACAGTAGAGCCTAATACCAGGCGCTCCATCTAGATTGATGACATCAGTGACATCCATGCTATAGATTCTTAGGAAGATATTGAAGTTAAAATTTTGAAGGTGGCTTTTATGAATAGAAGTCTAGAATCCTAGGGATGGAAGAGATCTCAGAGACCATGTAATCAAACCTTTACCTAAACTGAGTAAACCAAAATCCAATTAATTGGGTATAACCAAATCCAATTTGTCAATGTATTTCCATAAGCATAGAATCTGGACTCAGACCCAGTACTCTAGCTGTAGCCTGCCCAGGTCAGACAGCAGTGGAACTATGAGGGAATCAGAGAACGAGAGAATCTCAGATGGAAAAGAACCTCAGAGGTCATCTCTCTATCCCCTCTATCGTGTGCCCACCGAGTGGTCCTCTAGCCTTCCTCTAAAGATCTCAAGGGTCTGAACCAGGAACATACTTCCGCCCAAGGCATCCCATTCCACTTTGGAACACCTACAATTTTTAGGAAACATATAACCTAGATTTGTCTCTGTTAACTTCAAGTCATTGCTCCACATGCTGCCTTGTGACACTTCACCAAAAAAAAAAAAACCACCTGATGTTTTCTATATATTCCCTTTAAATACTTGAATAGATTTGTTATGTCCTTTGAAGTATTTTCTTCCCCAGGCTAACCATTCTCAGTTCCAATACTAGTAGAACATGTTCTCTATCCATCTCCTTTGCCAGCCTGATGACCACTCTCCTTTGTCTATGTCCTTCCTAAATTGTGGCACATAAGTGACAAAGCTGATGGTCACGTATCAGGCCAGCACCCAAACTCATATCCCTCTGCCAAGGAACCACTGGATGGATCCCTGGTCTCATGGGGGAATGACTGCTTCTCAGGGGCCTTGTTGAGGTAGCTCTTCTTCAGGTATGACTTGGACCGGACAGCCTTTCAAGTCCCTTTGTGCTCTGAGAACACCGGATTTCGTGAATTTAGAAGCAGATATGGGCATGGAAGGACCAGGGATCAGAACATCCTTTGGACTTACAAAATCACAAATTAACATCATCTAAGCTTTTTTTCCATATTTTTCATTCATTTTATTACATATCTTCCAAGGATTCTGTGTACATAGGCCAAGACTGCATAATTGACACCTCTGCTAAAGAATATGAATGAATTTGGTCTTGAAATCAGGATGTCAACTTGAACTCCAGCTCTGCCAAGGACTTTCTGCAAGGCCTTGGGCAAGTCTGTCTAAGCTTCTATTTCCTCATCTACAAAACTGGGAAAAATAGTGCTTGCACTGAATGCTAGTGATGGTTGCTATGGAGAAGGAGTGTTGAAAACCCAAAAGCATTACACAAACAAGACAGTCAACCAACAGGTGCCCATGCTGCTTCTTGCTGTGGTTTTGGTTACAGGAAAGGCATACATGGAAGTGAAAAATGGCCCCTGCCCTCAGGACTTTGTAACCTCATGGAGGTGCTAGGAAGGAGAAGGAAAGAAATGGGAGCTGTGGACAAATAGGCAGCAATGTTCCCAGAAATATTCAACAAATTGGAGGATTCAGAGCCAGAGGTTCTGGCTTGGAATCCTGGGCTTATCACTGAAGGGGTTGTGTGATCTTAGACAAGTCATTGACCTTTCTAGGCCCCAGCTTTCTCCCTTTAAAGTATTGCAGGATTGGACTAGGCAATCTGAAAGGTCCCCTACAGCTCAAATGGTCACTAATTTTTATAAGTTTTGAATATAATGAGATCCAATGATCTAAAATTTGTAAAGCACTGCACTAAGGGCCTGGAACATAGTAGGGTCTTACTCAATGTTTCTTCCCTTCTCGCCTGACTTTCCCTTATTTCCCCCCTAGAATGGCTTGTAACTGCACAGACTTTTGAAATTAGTAGGTGTGGGGCTTTTTTGCAGAGGCAAGGATATATCCCGTGGTTTGGGGTTGAGACAGGTCTCAAAGGAAATACCACCAAAGAAGGGGACAGAAGAAGAGGTGACTGGTACATCCCCTCAGGCACACGGAATGACAGCCTGGCAGCTGTAGCAGCCACAAGCCGTCCCACTCTTCAAAACCAACTCTCCTCCTGGGACATGGGAAAGGTGAAAGCTTAAAGGGGAATGAGAAAAGGGCTGCTATGGTGAGGTGGGAGGTGTCTCCTCCCTTATGAGAAGTCTCCTAACCAAGGCTGAATTACTGCTTATCAAGTATATACTGTGGGCATACTGATCCCAAAATGGGTTGATCTGGGTGGCTACTGAGGTCCCTTCCAACTTGGAGATTCTGAGGCTCTGTGTCAATCTAATGTCTCTTCTGACACAATGAAAGGAATTCCAGCTACCTCCCCCTATTATCATCAGGCACCACCACATCTCCCCTCATTAACCTGGACCTTCAACATTCATTATAAAGCACATTGATTAAGTGCCTAATGTGTACAGGACCCCATTCTTCTTATTGCTGAGGAAGCAAAGAGTTAATTAAGACACTGGCCCCTGCCCTCAAGTAGCTCATTGTCTAGCCAGAGACAGCTGTAGTAACTGACAGTGTGCCAAGAGACACGTGTGCCAGGTAAGGTGGCAAGGAGGACTTGGGGAATGAGCTCTCTGTGAGAAATGAGTGCTCCTGGTGTAGATCATTTCCTGAGCGACATTTAGCTGATCCTATCTCCCAGCCTCAATTTCTTCTCTTTCAAATAAGTGACTTGGCTTCTAGATCTGTTATTCAAGAGTATTCCAATAGGGAGGCATTGACATGGGAGCAATTGTAGGGTAAGCCAGGTGGAAGTCTGGAGCTTTTGCATGAGACTTTCCTCATTGGGACAGAGAATGATGAGTTAATGCATACATAAGGCACAGAGGTGGGAGGAGGGATCCCCCTACGTCTTTTCTCAGTGCCAGAAGGAAGAAGAAAGTTTCTTCTCTCCCAAGTTCTCAGATTAACTTTGCCCCCCTCACCAATGTTTAGCATCCAGGGATCATTCTCTCCACCAATAAGGAAGCTTGATGCAAATATTCCTGGATTTCGCCTGGATTACATGTGGATCAAAGGATTTAAAATGAAAAAAAAAAAGGCCATGAAGCTGTGACCCCCAAAGTTGAAGGTAGTAGCAAAGGAAATGCTCCAGGATCCTTAGGTGTAGACCTGGAAAGCACCTTAAAAGAGAAAGTCTAGAACAGAAGAATGGGAAGAGGCCTGAGAAGTGATTTAATCCAACTTCTCCATGGAATAGAGGTGATAAGCGATCCCAGAGATGTCACTCAAGGAGCAGTCCAGTGACACATGGCCAGGAAACTGCAGAGCCATGACCAGAAGCCAGATCTTTTTATTTCGAGTTCCACACAAACGCTAAGAGATTGGGAAACTCAGTCCAAGTTAGGCAACAAGGAATGAGACCAGGCAAGGCCTCTGCTTATGGAGGCAAGGCTGCAAGGTTAATTAAGGTTACGGAAGGTAAAGAGTGGGAAGGTTTTGGGGTGAAGGACGAAGCGATAGATCAGGTTCAGGTTGTCCTTACATAAAGTCTCCACCTGGAAATTTTTCAAGACCTGAAACAGATACATGAATTTCAAATGTATTGTCCCATTCACCCCCAGATTCTGGCTCCTAGAATCCTGGGGGTCTTCCCCTCATCTCTTAAGGAATCTGCTCCTTTCCTTTGGCCCCTGCTAACTCCCCTGTTTTCTCCTTGATGGGGTCAAAGCCCACTCTTTTCCTGTACCATATCTCTACAGGACTTCCTTAGAGCCTCCTAGAGACGCCCCCTAACCCTACTTCTCCTAAATTTCCAGCAATGTTTGTCTTGGATAATAGACCAAAGGGGCAAGTGAGCGTTGCCTTTTCATTTCTGAAGGGATAACAAGTATACCCCAAAGAGGGCTTATACCTATTTTGCATGATCTTAAGCAGTAGGACTTTGACCAGTGAGTAGAAGTCATAAGGAAGAACACTTCAGCTCAATAGAAAGACTTTTGTAAGAAATAGAGGCATCCTACAGCAAAATGGAGTGACTCAGGCTGGGTGGCAAGCTCCCTGTCCCTTCAGATATCC